ATATGTAATCTCAATACCCTGAAAAGTGAGATATTCTTTTTAAAATTTTTTTTGCTCAGTCTACAATCTGAACCACATCAGATCTCTCTGCAGAAATGATTCTTTCCACAGAACAAATTTAAACCATGCACCTCGACACCCCCCGCCCCCAGACCTTAAAAATAACATTTTCTTTTTGCTCTACCTTTTTCAAGGAATTGTACAGTTCATGTAAAATATAATCAAATTGTCTAGGCAAAAGATTTATATTATACAGGTATAGGATCAAAAGTGTGTCAGTACATGTAGAATGAAAACAATTTGGTAGGTGATTTTTTTTTTTTGGGGGGGGGGTAATAAATCTCATTTACTATTTAGAGAAAATGTACAGAAATAAAGCAGTTTAGTAAGTTACAACTTTGAACAATGTATTCTCTTGTAAAATTTAATATCTTTAAAATGGCTAAAGATCAGCTGTTCGGTGACTTGGGAAGATCTTGTGAAAATTCTTCTCTGATGTGGTCCAATTTTGATCCAGTTATTTAAAATCAAAATATCTAAAGTACACTTCTAGCAAGATATTTCATGAAAAAAGGGGTGCGAGGATTACAGCTGAGAGCGCTTCTCCCTGGCTCTTTTCATTTTCAGATAAGGCTCATGGTTAGTGATTCCAAACGAGAAAGCACGTTATAGATAGTAATTTTATTTCAAAACAAAACTCAGAGAGCGGGATATTACAAAAAAATTAATGTAGGCTCAGGAAGTTTGAGGAAGGGCATGACTGGCAGCCCTGGAAGAAAGCATCTCGAATGCACTGAGGTCAAAAGGTTCCCATACAACATCACTAACATTCTGTGTGTATAAAATTAAATGTTCGAATGTATTCAGCATTCATTTCATAGAGGCCTACTATACACAGTGTGTACACTAGAAGTAGATATATAGACTTAAATCTACAGGGGAGATTCGTTCTAAGTAAAACTGAAAGAGCTTTATTTGTTGTGTTTACATACATAGAGACCTTACACCTTGACAAGACTCCAAACCAGCTATACATATATGTGTATGTATTTATAACAGTAACACCAAGTTCTATAAAAATTAGCATTTGATACAGTTCCCAAGGCATTTCCCAATTCTATGTACGGGAGGACTTCCATACGAGCGACCACTGACAGAGTAGAATATAGGGGCAGGGGTATGGTTAGGGTTAGGGTTTGGATTTGGGTTAGTGTTAGGGTTAGTATATACTAGGTCGAGATCTTTTATTGTTGGGGTGGTCGCTCGTTACAGAAGTCTTGCCGGTAATTATTTACTTTCTTGCGTTTAATTTCAGGGGAGGACTTCCGTAACGAGCGACCAATTTGAACTCTCAAATATTTATTATCCTCCTCATCCATCAAAATCAGAACGTGGAAGGCCTAAAATGTTGTGGTTTTCGCATTCTTTTACCAGTTGGGGATGTATAGATCTAGTTTCGTCTAGATCTAGGCGCGGCCGGCTGGAATTAAATGCGAGAAAGTAAATAATTGCCGTCTTGCCCTTGCAGTGACTTATTAGGCAAGCCCACAATAAGTATAATAAGTGTGTGTGTTTGTGCGGAGGGTGAAAGGGGGGTGTCGATGTGGGTGACAGCCCTCCCTGTTAATCAAGATCTTTGACAACGAAGACCAAAACAAGTCGGCTTAAAGTAGAACTGCGAGTAGGCTACACGAGTCGGTTACAACTTAGTCCCGTGGCGTGTGTGTACTTTTTCTTACAAATTCCATGGCCATTCTCGCACACTTGAGTGATGATATTATTGATATAATATAAAGGTGCTAGAATTACACCCATTCCTTCTCATCCCTCCTCCTGGCGTCCTTATAACAACATTTACACTTACATTACATGTATATTTGATAAACAAATGCGTAGTTTGTCAGCAAAACCGTTGTTGCGAGTTGTGGTGATGTCATTGTCATGATGTACTCCTTTCGAAACGTTGTGTTTACGGAAACCAAGCAAACGAAATAAAACTGCTAAGACTTCCAGATAAATCATCTACTCGAACAACCGTAATAAAAGAAAGTCGCGTTATAAGTCGAACGAGTAATTTTGAATTATATATCGTACGTAATCATTTATACATTAATGTTCTTTTATTTCTGGGACCTAAATACCTCCAATTACTATTTCTTGTATATATA